GACTAATATAGGGCCTAATTTCCCTTATATAAACCGCCAATTTCAAAGAATTTTCACTAAAATTTATATTTGAAAGTGGTTAACATTTCAACATTTTCATAAGAACTCCTTAAATCCTAAGGGAAATCAAGGACTGTAAAATCTAATCATCTGAATATACATTCAATGGTCCATGTTAATTTGTTAAAGATTTTTTCATGCCTCCACACTCAAAACTAGCTTCCGCGAAAACATTCTTGCAACTGATTAAGTTAATGGTTGATGTGTCAAAGCAGATATGATATGTGTTCAAGGATTGAATTTATGGCGAAATAAATCCATAGAGGTCAACGATGAGATCTTCAAGGGCTATCGGCAAGGAAGTCACGAGGTCGTGACAGGTTATTCCACTTCTCTATCATTTGTTTGTATGTTTACCAGCTGCATTTTTCTTATATGTTTTATTTGTTGCTTTAATTAGCATACGATCTCTTGGACACGGATAGGAACAACTTCAATGTGACTATTTGGTATAACTATACAAGCAAGATCGATGTACAAGATAGGCGTGTAAAGTTTATCCGAGTTCCTCGCTCAGTCAATTTGGTAAGAAACTAAGTGTTTTTTTTCTAGACATTAATCATTTTCTTATACCTAGGATTGGTTTCTTAATCAAGCCCATTCATCTTAGATTCTGCAAATCATTCCAGGTTTCGAATGCTTGTCTTCAACTTTTGCAAGGCCCAGGGACACATATGTTATTCGATTTTGTGAAAGAAATGCCTAAACAAGAAACTAGGCTTCGCATGGACATGGCATCTCTCATTGGCCCCATTTTCTTCACATGGGCTATTCTTCTTTTGTTCCCTGTAAGTTTGTTTTCAATAGAATTCTTCAGGTGATCTTACAAGTTCTCACATGAAACTTCTAGGGGTAGAACTAGAGATCCATTGATTCTATACAGAGAAACATTATATGCATGTAGACTCTGACTGCATGTAGAATACCGAGATTACTAGGGCTTGTGAATATCTGTTGATTCTAAGAATATCCAGTAAACTAGGATTTCAGTCTCATCTTCACTCATGTACTTTGAGTTGCGTGCGCTTTAAAGGGACCCACTTATGTAATTAACGAGAGTCTTTGAGTTTGTTTAAAACTATGAAACCTTCTGTTTCATTACACGTCTTCTCCCTAGGTTTTAGGGTTTCCTACATGCACTAAGAGAAAACAAAGTGATTATGAAGCCATAAATGAACAAGCCTGACAATGAGATTTCAATAGTTATATGAATCTATATGCAGGTGATCTTGACCTCATTGGTCTACGAGAAGCAGATGCGTCTAAGGATCATAATGAAAATGCATGGACTAGGCGTTCTTCATGCGAGATCGAGTCACGATGTTGGGAGGTCGGTCGAGCTGCCCTTGAGATGCTCGGGTGTTCAGTAGGTGCCCGGATGGTGAGGTTGGCTAATCTTTCGGTCGTCTCCGCTCGCGCCTACCGTCCGGGGGTTGGCGATGAGCTCCTTTGAGTCCGGGGTGAATCGTGAGCGGATCTCGGATTCAACTGATCCAATTGTGCTCGGTAGTTTATCTGAGCCGTAGCAAGAAGTTCCAACCTCGAGTTGGTGCTGCAGGCTTGTTCTTCCTGTCGGTCGAATCGTTGCATGATGACCTCCATCATAGCTGTCATTTGATCCTGAGCTTGTTGGGTGGGTACGACTTCTTGCCCGGCGGGCTCAGTGTTAATGACGGCTTAGACTTCTTGGTCAGTGATGTTTTCGATGATTGTGGGCGCTGTCTGAGGTTCGTGATTCCTTGTATCCGTCTCCTGGTTGGCCATGCTGTGTTCGGGGTGGTTGTCCTCCATTTCCGAATTGAAATCGTGCGTTGGAGAATTTCAGAGACCTGTATAGGCCACCAATTGTTGATACTTGAGTTTGATAGTATGTTTATTAAACAGTAAAGGGGCTCGGAAACACTCGTTTATTGATATTATGCTCGGAAATGGATTACAAGTAGGATAACAGAACAAAGAAAGTAAAAGATGTTGAGCTCGGAAGCTTAGTAGACTGACGAACATTGTATAAACAAACTAACTAAGTAACAAGCTCGTGAGGTCGGGAACTGGGTAGTAAGCGAATATCATGAGGTCGGGGCTGATTGATACGTATTCTGAGGTCGGGCCTGAGTAATAAGTATTCCGAGATCGATGATAAGCGCGTATAAAAATCAGTCTCTCTGATAAATTCTCGTACGATTCCGGCGGAATGTACGAACATAATTTATCCTCTCTTAGATTAGTTAGAGTCCAGAAAATAGTTAGTTCTCTAGTCCCTTGTACTACTCCAAAAGAGGAAAAGTGATGGGACAACTCAAAAAGAGGGATCCCCCTTTTATACTAGAATGAGAAAGTAAATTTATGTAGGGTTTTCTTGGAAAGTACACTGGGTTTTTAACTCTGTCGGGCCGAGCTCGGCGATGGGTTTCATATTTGTCAATTATGAGGCCCATGCCCAACAGTATCCCCCCAGTCGACGAGCGCGTTAGTTGGTGGGCTCGTTGATGTGGTTTGGAGGCCCATCATATGTTCGCTTCTGATTGGCTCTTCCGAAGCGGTGGAGGAGTCTCGAGAGATATCTTTTCATCTTTTGAGCTGGGTCTATTTAAGCGAGATCCGGATTTCAGTTTTTCCTATTTGCTTTCTCGCTCTCCCTCGATAAAGGTAATCCTCTCTTTAACTTCTCTCTAGATTTTTCTGCTCGGCTTCGGATTTCCCGGCTAGATTTTTAAGTTCTCCTGGTCGGTTCTTCTTCTTCCCCAAGTCTGTTTCCTAAGTCTTTGTCTCTTCCTCATGTCTTCTAACTCGAACGGCCGTGAAGAGTCTGATTCGGTTAACTCCGGCAGTTCTCCCAGCCTTGAATACTCTCCTCCGTGGGGCGATGAATTTCCCTAGTCTTCTTCTTCTGACCCTGAGCCGTTGATTCGGAAGCACCAGCGAGATCCTACCGCTAAGCAGGGCGAAATTGCTTCAAGCTTGGAACGACCTCCTTTGACGAGCTCACGCGCTGTGCCGAGCTCACGGCGAGACATGGAGCTGGCAAGACATGGCGCTGGCAAGAGTTTGGCTCTCAGACCTAGCTCGCCTGATACTGGGTACCAGACCTCCCAGTTTGAGCTGGACAATCTTGGTGACTACGGTCGTCACCCAGGTCCTAGGCTAGCCTCTGATATTGTTCTCGAGCGTCATGATGATGAGGGGACGAAATCCACTGCAGACACGCTCAATAACCTTTCGAAATGGCACCACATCTCGTCGGAAGTCTCCTTCCTTCTTCCAAAGAGCAGCAACCGACCATGAAATCCTCCTCCGGGGTACATGTGTTTGTACGAGTCTTTTATCTACGAAGGTGGGCTTTGGTTCCCTCTTCCAAGGTTTTTGGTCGAATACTGTGCTCGGAGGAAGATTGCGATGTCTCAATGACGATCGCGTCCGTCCATAATCTGGTCGGGCTGGTAGTAATGGTGGTCGAGCTTGGTCGTAAACTCTGTTGTGATGCCCTCGAGGATCTGACGAAGATCTCTCGAAAAACGGCGAAGGAGGTCGTTTCTATCTCAGTATGAAAAAATCTCTCATCGAGTGCTCCAAAGGCAACAAAACTGCCGACTGGGAGACTCGCTATTTCTTCGTGAAGATCGACCGGGCTTCGATCAGGAATCTGGAATGGGAAATCCGAGCTGGATGAAACACCGAGATCGGTATTTATTTTGCCCTTGTGTTTTTCTTGGATTGATCGGCACTGACACCTGATCTGTTTTCTTTATTTTGCAGTTAGACATTGTGGGCTTCGTCGTTTTGCGAAGGGATTTACCGAACTGAGGGACAGGTTGCTTTCGTTCAGACCTCAGTGGTGGCCAAATTTCTTGAGCCAACGAATCCGTCGTGCTCTTCCTCGCATCCAGTCGGGTAGTTTTTCTTTCTTTCCTCGCCTCGTTTTGACTTTGTCCTGTGATTTTACCTAACGTTTGTGTTTATCGTTTCAGGTTGATACGATATCGACCTCGCTCCGTTTAGACCTTCCTTTGCCTGATCTCAGCAGGAGAAGGCAGGGAAGTCGTCCACCAAGAAGAAGGCGGAAGGCAGCAACGCGGGTAGAAAGAAGGTTAAGGCGGCTCAGGAGCTCCCAACTAAACAAAGAGTTCGAAAGGGCCTGATGGTGAAGCCTTCTTCGGTCATCGTTAATTATACCGCTCGGACGAAGC